AGGCTTTCAGAGGCTAACTACTCAAAAGTAGTTCACCTCTCTCTCCTTCTTCCTATTCTGCTTTAGTCAGGAAGCTTAGTTGAAACATGTCCATCATGGGTGGCCCTCTTGGTATTTAAAATACTGCTGGCATAGCGTCCAGCATCACGGAAAGTAGCAAGCCACCACAATGACAAAGTGACAAACAAGTGGTGGTCTGGTGGGAGTAGTCAGAGGAAATGTTCAGAAAGAAGTGATATTAAGCAGAGAACTGGGTTGTCCATTGTTGTGGAAAAGATGGTGTCTGTATTTATTAATTTAGGCTTGCCTGATATTTGCAGTGACCTTCTGAAGGCATTCTTTGCTCCCCTCTTAAAAACAAAACAAAACAAAACAAAAAACTTCTTTAGCTATAAATAGACCAAATATTCTTTCAAATGAAGTTAAGAATTTTAGCAGTGTTTACAATCTGGGTATTGTAAGCAGACCTCCATAAATATTTTATTGGTAGCTTAGTAATAGAATAAGCTTTCTCTTTATAGGAAGCATCTGGTAGGGGTAGACTTTTTTTGTTTGAATTAATGTTTTATGTGTTGTTTCTTTAAAACATTTAACAGGAGGCTTTAATAAAGCTACCAATTGTTTCTTGTGCTGTTCTCATTAGCCCCAGGGTTGAGACTCTAAGTGTTAACCAGAAGGCCAAGGGCAGACAGTTTGAAAATATATTTAATGTAGAATATGTGTATCAGTTTCTTTTATCCAGTCATAAAAGTTTTTTTATTAAAAGGTATATGTGTTTTAAATTCTTATTTTAAAAAACAGGGGGAAATGGTGTATTTGTGTATGAAGATGTGTTTGTGTGTGTGTGTAATCTGGGACTTTTGTATACGTCACCACAATCAGAATACAGAATAGCTCCATAATTCTAAAATAGTCCCTAGTGTTGGCTCTTTTTGGTCAAACCTTCCCCCCACCTCTGTCCTACTAGCGACTATTGCTCTGTCCTCTGGCCCTTTAATTTTACTTTCTGCAGAATGTTGTAGAAATGCGGAGTCATACAGGATGCAGCCTTTGTGATTCCTCTCCTTGCTTGGCCCTCTGCTGTTGAAGTTCATTCATGTTTTTGTGTATATTAATAGTTGCTGACTGTACCGCTGTGTTTCCATTCATCTTTGAAGGACATTGTTTCCAGATTTGGGTGATTATTAATAAAACTGCAATAAAAATTTGTGTATTTGGAAACCCTATACAGGGTCGCTGTGAGTTAGAACTAGCATGATGGCATTTAACAGTAACAATTCTTGAAAAAGTTTTATAGTTTGGTTTTGCATTTAGATTTAATGATCTCATTTGTATTAACTTTTGTTTAAAGTATGAGGTTTAGGTTGAGGTTCATTTTTAATTTGCAAATGTGTGTCCAATTGTTCTAATGTCATCGTTAAGTGCTGTCGAATCTGTTTTTATTAATAGCGACTGTTTTTATTCATAGGGTTTCCAAGGAGTGGCTGGTGTGTTTGAACCACCAACCTTGTGGTTAGGAGTCCAGTGCTTATCCTACAGCGCCACACCAGGAATCGAATACTGTTTACTAAAAAGACTGGTCTTCATTCAATTGACTTTGCACCTTTGTCCAAAATCAGTTGGCCATATTTGTATGAGTCTGTTTCTAGCCTGGGAGCGCAATGGGTCCATACGTTAAACACAACAACAAGGTCTGAGTTTAAGCCTGGCAACCACTCCACAGGGAAAGATGAGATTTTCTGCTTTTGCAAAGGTTTGAAGCCTTGGAAGCCGTGTATAGGATCACTATGAGTCGGAACCAGCTTGATGATATTTAACAGCAACAACATTTCTAGACTGTTGTGTGCCATTGATCTATGGGTCTGTCTAACCCTTTGCCAATATTATACAGTCTTAATTATTGTTAGCTTTTATAGTTATGTCTTAAAATTGGTTACGGTTTTCCAACTTTACTCATTTTTTTTTCTTTCCCCAAAATTGTTTTGAGTTAGTCTAGAAGTAGTCTGAATATTCTGGTTTTGATCTGAAAAACATGTAATCCCCGAAACATGGTGTGATGCACTGAGACCAGTGAGAGTCACAGCTCAGTGGGACTGCTTTGTTTTTCCAGGTCTACAAGTTTCCCATCTTGGATAGAGTGCAGTCTTTACCTCCTTTCTATTAATGGAAAATATTTTAGTTTTCCTTCTTTGACAGGTTTCTGTCTTAAATAGGTTCTGGGTTTGTTAGGTTTCATTACTGGAAAGTACTAGAAAATGGGTTTCATGATTAGGCTAATGTCTGTGCTTGGGGTGGGTTAAGGAAAAGTTATCTGGACAAGCCAAACTGAAAATGCAACATTTTCTAGTAGGCAGTGAAGTTTAGTGGACAGGTCAGTTATTGGAGTCACACATGGCAGGATATGAGTTTTATTTCTTCTGCTAGTGGTGTGATCATTGGTCATAACGTGGGTAGTAGTTTTTTAGTGTTGTTTATAAAGATTGAGATATTGTTTATAAAATAACTAGTGAATAAGGAAGATCGTAGAAGAATTGATGCCTTTGAATTGTGGTGTTGGAGGAGAATACTAAAAGTGCCATGGGCTGCCAAAAGAACCAA